AAAAAAGGTATTTCTAAACTTTTAATATGTCTTTTATGTTTCCAACTTTCTTAATGTTTTTCTTTACTAATATAGATATTGAACCCATGCATTGCTGTCGGTTTACGAGTGATTAGCAATCATTTCCGAAATTTCGACACCTTTCGTCTGGTAGGTCATCTACACAAGCAAGGAAGACGACGACGTTATTCGTCGTACACTTCAAATACAAGTATATTCTCATCATAACTATTCAAATGGAACATCTGTCAGTACTCTATAACTAGAAAAAAAGGTGAAGGAAATCGACCTCCATTAGCAATAGTCATTAAATAGTCTTTTTAAATAGGAAACATGTTAGGAAACGCTTTTTATTTGTTCTATAGCATATTGATTACAAAGTTTTATCCCGGAAGAGCATTACCTACTGTGATGAGCTTTTTTGACAAGCATCCGAAGTTAGCCAAAGGGGTCATATATGGAAAGTATTTCCCTGGAGAACATACAATATTATGTAATAATGATAAATAAAGGATCTGGTTGTATCATACTCCAAGAGCCTCAATCTTTCGGAGAACTGTGCCTTGATAGTCTCCAAAGCACGTGGAATAATAAATAAATAAATAATTTTTATTAAAGACTCCTCGGAGTCCCATCAAAGCAAATAAAAACCAATTTATATAGGCATATTAGGCAAAATCTGCACAAAACGCAGTTCATAGTTTCTGAATTTGTAGTCCGTTAAGAAAAAGGATGAGCAAGCGGTAAAAAAAACTCCACTTAAAAATTTAAAAATGACTGGATTAATTTTACAGAAAAAACCTCGTTCATAATAACAGAAAAATGCGGACAGGACTGGCCTGCATGTGGCGGTATATAACAGGTTATAATCGGACATCGTCAGGGCAGAAATGAGTGTCGACCTTGAGGGGTACGTATGCGTGTCGGACAGGACTGACCTGCATGTGGTATTGTATACGGGATCCAGAACGGACATCGTCAGGGCAGAAGTGATACGCCGAATGACACTATTTGCGTCAAAGAGGCCAGACAGGAGGAGCCCAGACGCGATCGGCCGCAGTCCGCTTCGAGACCAGCCGAGGAGTGGGCAGACGGCGAATAAATAAATAAATAATAAATAAATAAATAATTTTTTATTAAACACCGGTCGGGGTCCCATCAAAGCAAGTTAAAATAAATTTACATGTGAGTTTTAGACGAGGTAGGCCGAATCTTTACAAAATGCAATTCACAGTTTCTAAATTAGTAGTTCACTGAGAAACATGATGAGTGAGGGGTGAAAAAAACTCCTTACAAAAAGCTAAAAATGATTGGATTAATTTTACAGGAGAAAAAAAACCCTCAATAAAAATAATGACAAAAAAGAGCGAGCAGGACTGGCCTGTAGGTGGCGGTATATAACGGAATGTTGTTGGTCATCGTCAGGGTAGCAATAAATCTTAGCCTTGAGGAGTAAGTATGCAGGTCAGACAGGACTAACTTGCATGTGGCATTGTATACGGCATTCACAATTGAGATCGTCTGTGCCGGATTGATACACCGCGTCAAAGACGCTAGACGAGAGGAACCCAGATGCGCTCGGCCACAGCACGCTTCGAGCTCAGCCGAGCAGTGGGGAAGGGAGGTACGACCGAACTACTAGTAGACAGTGAATACTGAGGGTTCCGCCGTGAGCGTCGACAGACCGCATGAGGTTGAAATGCAGGAGATGACATCAAAAACCGCGAAAATTGTCGCTATGGGGTAGGAGTGATAGCAATTGATTTAGAAACCAATTCAAAACAGGCGTTTCTAATGATATAATTGAGAGTTACCACTTGATCTACCACTAAATCCCAGGAGGATCCCTTTCGAAGTCAAGCA